GGAAGAAATTAAAATTATTATTACATAAGTTTAATTATAATAACAATGTGATTTACATTCTTGTGAGTGAATTAATATTTAACGTCACATCGGCAATATCTCAGCCATATCGTGACGAGATTTACATTCTAGAGAAAGTGGGTACTGTTTCAGAATGGAGCACCATATTATACTCTAGTTCTCCATGTGATGGCTAATGACCATATTCCAGCAATATTCCAGCGATATGACCGCCGTCTGTAATTAATCGAGTCTGGACCAGACAATCCAGTGATCAACAACATGAGCATCGATCTACGCAATAGGGAATAGATGACTTGTGTCAACAAAGTTAACAAGCCTGAACACCGATCCCGTTAGTCGCCTCTTACGACAAGCATGGGTTACTGAAGATCAATTCTAACCCGTATCTTAACGGGTTGTGAAATATTAACACTCCAAAGACCGAAGCTCAAAAAATATCGCTCAACTTGAATTCAAAGAAAGGTGACACCATGCTGTCGTTTGGCCAATATTTCATCACTATGAATCTTTATGTAAAGATGGATAATTTGAGACAGTTGTTTGAATGGTTTCTCAGGTGGGTCAATCAGTGGAAATCTCCAAAATCATTGGAAATGACATTGCACGATTTCACCTAACGACTTAAGAGCACAAGTGAAAAGACCCAAACGAGGCAGGATAAAGTAATTGAGATGTGAGCTGTTAAAAACATTAATGTGATACAATTATGATAAAATCATTTGGAAAAACATAATTACATTTGAACTCTGAAATTCTGCCAGTTGGAAAGAAGAACGTATATCACATCCTTGTGTAAGGGTCCTGTTAGGTGCTTCATGGTGCATAATTGTGAAGCCAATATATGACTATAACATTGGGATGGTGAGTATCTCTTGACAATTCCAACTATTGCCGTATAATGTTATTATATTTAGAGGGTCATCTCATTCAAAGACATATATGATTGATTTCTCACATGATTAACTATCTGACTCTTGCTTCATACCCAGGGAGGAACTGGGAGGATGATCGTGGGTTCGAACCCTAGTTTCCGATTATATCACAAGCACCATGCCACTGCTCGTGTAACGACCAGCATTGTTCTAAAATTTAGCTAACATGCTGTTGTGAAGCACGGTTACACTGGCATGGTGTTGAACCCAACGAACCAATATAGGAACTGTTTTATTTGATGCAATTATTTGTCGGATAATGGTACGTGTACTCATTGGATGGCAGTTGAGTGACGTCTTAGATTACATGAAGCGCAGATTTGAGTGGAGAGAACGAATATTAACCTGATGTATCCTCGTAAGTGAAGACAGGCACCGTCATCACTATACGACTGTCTTTTCTTTAATTCAAAATTGTTTCGAGGGAGAAATTATCACGACATCAATAATAATATGGATTCTTATATTGCGCTAAACTCCACACCAAAGTGTGCTCAAAGCGCTAACAGAGTTCACAGATATCACATGTGTGTTTACAATCCATTTCTGTTGATCAGGTAGGTCTTAAGATGCTTCTTGAAACAAGCCTTTGGGAGAGCGTTCCATTTAACGGCAGCATTATATGCGAAGGATCTTCCGCCTGATTTTGGGGACCTTTAGTAGCATTTGTTCACTGGAACTGAGAGTTCTTGTAGGGACATAGTCTTCTACTAGATCACACACATAACCTGGAGCTGTATCATTGATACACTGATATGTGAGGATGAGGATCTTATGATGCATCCTTTCTTTGACCGGCAGCCAGTGGAGATACCTGAGTACTGGAGTGATGTAACAGTGTGACAATTCTAGCCGCTGAGTTCTGGATGTTTTGCAGCTTTCTGATTTGCTGAGCTGGAGCCCCTACAAGCAGACTATTACAATAGTCAATCCTTTCTAGGATCATTGAACGTGCAAGTGCTGCAGCTGTTTGTTCTTTGAGAAGGTGGCGTATGCTACCTATGTTTCGGAGGTGAAAGTAGCATTTTTTGGCGAGGTCATTGATGTGCTTGTCCATGTTGAGTGATGAGTCTACCTTCACACCCAAGTTTCTAGCATCTGTCGAAATATTGATTTTATCATTGTCGACTGTGATATGAGTTGCTTCGATCTTTTGCAGCCTTTTGTCAGGTCTTATGAACAAAGCCTCTGTCTTATCGTTGTTTAACTTTAGCATGTTCGCGTTCATCCAGGCGCTAACTTTGGATGTTCAGTCTTCCATCGCACTTAGTCCTGACTTCTGTGATTGGTCAAAAAGAGCAAAACTATTGTACAATTGCGTGTCATCAGCAAAAGAATAATCATTGATGGCACAGTTACTAATAACTTGTGAGACAGGCTTGCTGTAAAGCGTAAATAATACTTGGCCCAGTACGGAACCTTGGGGTACGCCACAAGTCAAAAGAGTGCTGGCAGATGGTGTAGCATTAATGCTAACTCTCTGGTATCTGTCTCTCAGGTACGAGCGGAACCAGTCCAAAACAACGCCGTCTAAACCATATTCAGTATGAAATCGGTCTATTAGCAAGGTGTGGTCAACAGTATCAAATGCCGTTAATAAATCTAACACGAGCAAAAGCGCAACATTTCCTTCATCCACACTGGTTCTCAAATCGTTTAATACTTTATTGAGAGCTGTCTCTGTACTGAATCCACTTTTGTAAGCCGACTGATACTTATCAAGCAGGCGCCGAGACTGAATGTGATCCAGCAATCTTGTGTTAACAGCTTTCTCTAAGATCTTGAATGAAAATGTCAAATTTGATACAGGCCGGTAACTTCGCAGTTTGTTGCGATCAAGAATAGACTTTTTAATCAGCAGTTTAATGACAGCAGTTTTCATACTTTTGGGACTTGTCCTGAAGTCAAACTGAGGTTTACATATATGCAATAACAGGCAGGAGACAGTCCAGGACTTTCAGAAACAACTTGGTAGGTATGGGATCAAGCTGACAGGATGTTGGTTTGGAACTTTGGATCAACTTCAGTATTTCACTGGAGTGAAATAGAGTGAATACTTCCATGGTTACTGGAGTACTGTCTGTGTGAGGCAAAGTGTTTGGATCACATGCACTAAGAGAACTCCGTATCTTGCAGATCTTCTTGTTAAAATACTGGTTGAAAATTTGTGGAGTTTCATCAGCGTTTCCAGAATCTGGAAGAACAACCTCTACAGTTTTACCCATCAGAAAAGACGTGGTAGAAAATTGCGCTTTTGGATTCTGCAATTGGGAGACAATGAATTGGTGGAAATAATCAGATTTCAATCTTTTCAAAAGTTTAACTGAATTGAAAATGTGTCTGTCAATCTCCAATCTTGTCTTTCGCCACCGCCTTTCAGCCTTCTTGATTTTGGCCTGATGAACTTCACCCAAATACCAGGGGTTTTGATTTATTTTCACCACATTTTCACCTTTATTTTATTGAGGACAATGGACTTCAAGAAACCTCGAATAATGTGTTTGAAAATGTCAATGGATTTGAATGCTTTAGTAAACACGTTAAGGTAGCCTTGTAAAAGGGCCTTTGCAAACTGGACATGGCAGTCTATCAAAAACTATAAACATAGTATCCGATTCGAGTTCCAAGTTTGACCTTCACCATACACATTTAGTGTTTCATCAATAATTGACTTGTTTTTGTTTTTTTCATTTTTCCGTTGAGTGCTGCTGATCAGGAAAGATACACTCACCTTTTGCTTAACAATTGGTATCATGCTTTAGATCTACAGTGGATTTTGTTGTTAATAGATATTTCAAGTGATTATGGAAGACTGTTATCGCTATATTTACTTTGTAACATCTGCAGCGCAAGGTAGAAAAGAATGTAGGTCTAGACATGGTTAAAGTGTGTCTGGACATTGCCAATTTGAGTTAACAGTATTCAACACCCGATGACTGTCTTAAGAGGGGACAAAAGGATCGGGTGGTCCGCCTGGTCCCGACTCAGTTGAGGAATTATTATCGTGTTCAGATAATATCGTGTTCAGATAAACAGGACAGGGTAACTGATCTATTAACGTAAATGTACCATTGGGATTCATGAGTGTAGTTACTGTGTACAATATATACTTACTCTGTTTCAGTGAACATGCGGCGATGACATCAGTATAGAAATTGCTCACAATTACTATGTTTGAATTTGGAAAGCAATATGATAATCGGAATCCGTTTATGGACATGCGCTATATAGTTCCGTCATCACGGTATAACGTTGTTACAAATTCAAATCCTCATATGTACTTTTAAATTTCCATTATCGGGTGGTCAGGCTTGCTGACTTGGTTGCCACATGTTCATGCTGTTGATCACTGGATTGCCTGGCCCAGACTCGATTATTTACAGACCGCTGTCATATAACTGAGTCATATAGGAATATTGCTGAGTGCGGCGTAAAACTAAACTCAACTCACTCACCCCATTATTGCAGATTAAGTACGGTGCTCATGACTAGTTATGTATATCGGAACTAAACTGGGTTGTGAACAAGAAATCTATATCTCCAAATCTCTCACTGTATCCCTCGGGTGGCTGGTTCGATTCTGCAAACCCATAACCACAGGGTTAATACATTTCGTGTAAAATATGCATCTTTGACCTGTATCTCTTAGTAACTGTGTCGACCCGTGAAGATCCGGGTTAGAATTGGTCTTCATGTTTGTCGTTAGAAGGGACTAATTGGATCGGGTGGTCAGGCTCGCTTACTTGGTTGATGCAAGCCATCGAATACTATTTGCATAGACCGATGCTCATTCTAGCACTAGACAGTCTGGTGGAGACAGATTATTTACAGACTGTCGTCATTAAGATGGAAAACTGCTGAATGCGGTATTCTGAATTGTACAAACTAACCAACAAAAATCGTGCTAGAGATCCAGAGAGAAATTGGAGTGGTGTCACCGGCCTCCGATTCACGGCTACAGGAGTGTTGTAAGCAAGTAACTAGAACTAAACTGACCTGGGCACAAACCCAATTCAACCTGGGTTCAGATGATATAAAACAGAGTCGGCATTGTTTGTGTTTGCTACTTTTGCAATCACTTTGCTTTATTTAAACACTTCGAACAGGCAACATCCGGTCGAAAGTCGTCCATTAGTATCCATCGTACGAAGCTTCTATTTTGCTGTAAATAAATCAACCAAACATCAAACGATGCCTGAAAGATCTTGTAAAAAGACGAATTCCTTAATTTTCGATAGCATCCTGAATACACATACACTCACGCACACACATATCTGTCTATCTATCTATCTATCTATCTAACTATCTATCTATCCATCTGCATTGTATGTATTGTGAACATATGTGTTATTCCCAAAGATAAAAAGTGAGGTCGGTTTCCTACTAATTACAGGTAGGATATGTGTACAGTAAAATCATTAAAATCACATCACATCAAGGGTTGGGGGTCAAAGAAACATGATGTCTACACATTATTCTTTTTGCTGTGCCAATTGCTATGTTTCCGTCACTTGTGGACGAACATATATTTAACGAGGAAAGTATTCAACCATCTTCTAAAGTCAGATGGCGTTCTTGATTTCAACACGCCGTTAGATCAGCAGCGAAATACATGATAATAATTGCAATTACGGCTTGTATCAAAGCTTTACTTTAGTAAAGACAACCCAGTTGTTGAATTTCAAAATGTTGGCATTTACCTGGTTCGTAAGCTTCCTCTCCCATCCAGTTACCCCTGGAACATGAAGTAAAATATATTATGTCTTGGACGGAATTTTGTTGTTGTGATGGAATATATCATTGATGGGCGCTTGAATTGAAATACACCAAAGGCATGGAATTAAAGGAAGTTAATAATAATATGAATGTTGGTATTGTTGAGGATCTGAATGCAACATCTAATGAATGCAACATCACAGAACACAGTGCATATTACACGTGCAGAAAAGAGTGTGTACTTCCACCTTCAAAATCATTTCAGCAATTCCCTTCTGAGGGTAGTACATGTATTCTGATTGACAAGATCACACATGGACCATTATTATTGAAAACATACTCTCGAATTACATGATCCAGTCACTTTCTGGTTGTTGGCTGTGGCGTTACACTCACTATTTTGTCATGTCACGGGTACCCAATGAGTTGCTGCTTGCATGAACAAACACCACTGGAATCTGTGGGCCGTGAATGACCACACACGGACAGGCAGATTAAAGGACAAATACCTACCTCGGCTCATAGTAACACACCAGGAACCGTACGTCATTGTCCTCTCGGAACTGAGACATATAGTTGCAGTTATTCATTGCACAGCCAAATTCCCGAGTCTCCTCCCAGTTGACCTGGATGATAAATCCATTATTTAGACGTTGCACTGATTAGAATATCATAAATAATAACGACAAAAGCCAGTTCAGTCCATAGGAATCTTTAGCATTTTGTTTTTAAATGACCATCAAGTAGTGATGATACCAATTATTGAATTTAGTATTGACGGAATAACTAAAAGGAGAACGAACGCCAATGAACCGACTAGAGGAGATGCATGTCCTAGCTGAATAACGTTGTAACTCGCCTATCGTCAGCCTGTAAGTATTGGGACACGTGTCATACAGATAATGATTTTTAATGATATTTTATTTTATAATGATTACCCACTGGGTCACGATTACAGGTAGTCATCCAGATAACACTTTGTAACCATTTCTGACTCAGTACCGGGAACTCATCACAACTCGGCATACTGGGGTACTGGTAGAATACAGAACAACAGGGAGACGGTTAAGGAAAGCCACCCGAACGGAATGCTCTGAGGAAAATATCTAAGAAGACATCTTTAGAAAACCTATGCGATAAATATGAACACCTTCAACCATCAAATGCAGAAAGGGATTGTAAGTACAAAAATCAATCTGAAATCTGTTTGGCATGATTGTGTTTACGAATCAACATCAGACAGTGTTAACACCAAGTATTCGCAAAACACTTAAAGTCAGTCCTTCCCCACGTGTAATGTAAGATAAGTTTGTAATATATGTGTGTAGATAGTAGAGTGCACCTTTGATTCTCAACAATACCTGTGAGTAATAGCAGCTCTGGGAAGGAGAGCATTCCCTGTCATCGAAGCGGAATGAGTCGACCCCGTTCCTCCAAGCGTTATAGCCTCTATTCATGACCCCTTCCTCCGATCGGGACGACTGCTCAATGTAGAGGTTCTCGCCGAAGTCAGGTCTTGATGAGTATCTGAACTCACATCTGTTTGCATATCTCTGGGCTTCTCTTGCTAAATCTTCGTTCCATCTCTGCAACAAACAGTATTTAAGCTTAAGAAGCAATTCGATTTATCCACGAGACCATTGCCAATATGTCTAAAGGCTTACTAGACTGTGCTAGGGCCTACATTTCGTAAAGCAATATACATTTGATTTTGACTTGAAATATAACACATGTGAAACGAATGCTCATGAAGTAATACGTTCTCGTGTTGACAAAATTCAAAAACTGCTATTTTGTTTGACAACATGAATCCAAATATTTTTATGGGGAAAAGTGTGAATAAGCAGTTCTTCTAATCCAATATAAACCTTCGTATTGGTACAGTGCAATCCCTTTTATTAATTTCCTTTCAGGAAGTGCATGGAAATTCCATATCATTGTTTAATGCATTCACCAAACCTTCGGTATGTGACTTCTTAACATAACACGAACGGTGTTTAAACTCTCTTATCTCCCCGATCGACATTCGGCTCGTACAAGCAGCATCCACATCATTCCATCCACACATGCACACGCGCACGCACGCACACATACACGCATACATACATGCATACACATATACATTTTGAAAGCGCCCTTAAACTCCATTACTCCTCATTTGAAATATTTTAATGATGCAATGCTGCAGATTGTTGACAGATTCGTAAAGCTGCGAGTGATATGGTTAAAGAAAAAAAGGAAGAAAACGTAATCAAATCAACAATATTTTGAAATGCTTTGTCTAATGTCATGAAAAGGGACAGTAGTTTCAACTACTTACGAGAAAGGGATAGCTTTCCTCTCCGTACTCATTAGGGAAATCTCCCTCACCCATCATCTGGCGTCCCTCGTTGTGTAGTTGAAGCATGGTGTTCTGATATTCTGGCATCATTACATTCGCCATGGAGACGCCCAAGACACCCAGGAAAACTACGGTCCACATCATTGTGATATTGGAAGATCTGTCAACGTGATGAAACCAAATTTTTACTGCTCCTGTATTGCAGTCAAATAAGTGAATTAAATTTTAATTCTTCACTTATCAATATTTTAGCTCGGACACACCGACATTGAAACGGTTAATCCTTCAGTTATTAATATTTTAGCTGGGACACACCGACATTGAAACGGTTAATCCTTCAGTTATCAATATTTTAGCTCGGACACACCGACATTGAAACGATCGATGCTGGCGAAGAATAACAACTGACCATATAACACCGGAATTTAGAGAAATACTGAGCGTATTGCTTGACGTTTAACGCTGACACTCGGATATATTCTAGCTATACAGACGGTGTTCTGTACATAATCGAATATTGACCAGCCTATTGGTTGACTTCATGAGCACCTATGTCCGCAACGTAGATACATGTATCACGTAGTCACCTAGCCTGACCACACATTCCCGTTAGTCGTCCTTTATGACAGACAGGTGAGCTGAAGATCAGTTGAACGTGGATCTTCACGTATATTTGGAGTGAGTGAGTTTAGTTGTACGCCGCACTCAGCGATATTCCACCTATGTGGCGGCGGTCTGTAAATAATCGAGTCTGGACCAGACAATCCAGTAATCAACAGCATGAGCATCGATTTGCGCAATTGGGAACCGATGACATGTGTCAACCAAGTCAGCGAGCCTGACCACCCGATCCCGTTAGTCGCCTTTTACGACATGCATAGTCGCCTTTTATGACAAGCATGGGTTGCTGAAGACCTATTCTACCCCGGATCTTCACGGGTCACGTATGTTGGGAGAAATAAGAACTACAGTTATCGAAACAAGCGCAAACACTTGTCATTATCACCTTTACGCGAACACCTGCTCGTTAATCTTTGATACAGATAATACATATACACATGCTTATAACATAAGTAATCGAAATAGCACAAAGGACTTTCTTTGCCAGTGATTTCTTGATTATGGAATAAAGTCATCTATGGCTTGAGTTGATTACTCTTTTATAACAAAGTAGACATACACGAATACTGTAAAGTCAATACCATTTGAACTACAGTTAGCGGAAATGAGAAATTGCTTGCTTCATTTCGAGATGAAAGGTAAAATGCATTTTGTCTAACGCTCTACAATTCACCAGTCAACCATAACACACGGATTCTCCAGTTGACATCGTGTTTTCATTTGAGAAAATTAACACCAATTGTCTGCCTTTATGATTATCAGGCTCCCATACATAGATTGCCGAAGAAATTACCAATGGATAGGCATGAACACGAGCTGAGGTTTGGAGCAACGCATGTTAAGGCTTTTGAACCTACAGTCTCTTTGTTTACATTTTATCATGACACACATACTCCTTTACTACACAAACCTCCTTTACTTCTGTATTTTTATCTGGCGTGAAACAGTGGCATATGAAGTCAGCCATGAAAACATGGAGATAACTGTTATTATTCTGTACTATAAACATTTCAATATACCATTATGTTATATGCTTATCAAATATTACGTATCTATACAAACTATGCCAGAGACTATGTTTGAATATGTGAATATGTTTAATATTATATCCTAAGATGTTTTCATATATGTACTCTGCGTCTTAATGGAGGAAATAAAGCACGTTCATTCATTCATTTATTGTGATGTAGGAAAATATGTTTAGAAATACCAGAAAAACCAATAACTCCAACTTACAATCTAATTTTGAAAACAAAATGAGTGTAGGCTATTCTGTGTGTAGAAACAAATATGCATACAAAATGAAATCATAAATAAAACTACACAAAATGCTACACTATATCTATCAGAAGAATGCTCCAGATATGTACGTATAAATCTCTCTTCACCCAAATAGCATAGACTGCAGTAATGATGCAAACATTATGTGAATGTACTATTATAAATTATAATCAATGTTTTAGAATGCTAGAAAATGGCAAGGAAAGGAACGTTTAACCAATGAACAGAGAATAAAATTGTGTCAACAGAGGGAAAGTAAGACGAAGTCAAGGTAGAAGCTGCTAGTGTTGGTTGCCTTGGTCTGTATACATATACAAGTCACAAAACGATACTGTATATAGGAAATCAAAATGAATATTGGATCTATATGTCAGCAGTAAATACTGAAATATATTGAATATTGTACTGCTCTGCCTCTGATATCACTTTCCGCCTATTAAGATTTAAATTGAATATTTTCCCCAGAAAGTCCATTTCGACATTTCGAAAATATGTATATTAGTTTGTATGAAAATCTTCCAACATATCCGGTTTGTATTTAGGGAAATGATCAATCTTTGATAATTTATCTCCAATAGTAACGTCTAAATCGTCAAATAAAGGATTATTTCATTTTATAAAAATCGTTTAGAATATCAAACTTGTATACAGGCTAATAGTCAAGGCTATAAGCTCTTCCGTTGTCATGCCTAACTTGTACAAACAAGGAAACTACTGGAATTGACACTTTGGGACATGGCAGTCTGTCTTAGCCGTCACACATTAATTATTATTTA